TGACAGCAAGACACCTATATCTGTGGAAGCAGACTCCAGGATTCATCAGCACGAAGATAAACTTTGGTTTGTTCCTGCTAAGGTGGAGGATTCAGGACATTACTATTGCGCCGTAAGGTATGAAAGGAATCCATATGGGGCACCTGGGTGGCTCAGTTGGTTAAGCGACTGCCTTCGGCTCAGGTCATGATCCTGGAGTCCCAGGATCGAGTCCCGCATAAGGCTCCCTGCTCGGCAGGGGATCTGCTTCGTCCTCTGACCCTATCCCCTCTCATGTGTTCTCTCTCTCTCATTCTCTCTCTCTCTCAAATAAATAAAATCTTAAAAAAAAAAAAAAGAAAGGAATCCATATGTTGCAAACATGTGTTCTGTGTGCCTGCAATAGTTAAGGACAGAAACATCGTTAATTGTGCTGAATTCACCTATTTTGATTGATTTTAGGAATTCAACTTACTGCCTCAAAATTAAAATAACTATTAAGTTTGTACAGCATGAACCTAACTTGTGTTACAACACAGAAGCTATATTTACACAGAGACTACCTGTTGCAGCAGATGGACAGCTTGTGTGTCCTTACATGGAGTTTTTTAAAGATGAAAAAAATGAGTTACCCAAAATAGAGTGGCATAAGGTAATTTTACATGAAATATGGTATTTTACTTTTCCAGCAGATAAAATTGTTTTCTGTCCTAGACAATAGGGTGAATCTGCAGGGTACTTTTTCATTTGACGTATTGCTTGCTTTTGCGTGGTAAAACTTAATAGGAAAATTTTTTTTTTTTTAAGTTGTAAGACTGCATACATTTAATGAAAGTCTTACTTTCTGTTAATTTTATTTAACAAGATAAAGTTGAGAAAAGGATAGTAGAAATAAAAGATGTAGAGATAAGGCTGATTATAAATTTAAGGTGTTTGAGAAATCTCTGTTATTATAAAATATATTTTGTTTTTGTTTTATTAAAAATATTAAGTGGTCCTTAAGAAACTGAGTGGTTTCTGTAACTGTCTTAAGAGTGGATTGGCTAGCATTCCATGGAACACGTCATGTTTTGGCACCTTTGATCTACCCAGTTTGTTGGAGCTTACATGGGTAATCATCTTATAGAGGTTAAGAAATACAAAATAAATAATATCAATGCAGAAAGGAAGTACAGCATTACTGAGAAATTATCACATTAACATTCTGTCCTCAAACATGATTTTCTTGCAAAGTAAATTTGTCTTCACTTGTCTTCAAAGTGCAAGGCTCATAGGCATAAAGATTTAATATCCTGGGAATGTAATTGGGACTATTGCCAAAAAAATACTATATTAAAACTTACACGCAAGGAACATAGTCATATATATTCACATATATGCTCAGCTTGTGATCATGTGTCTGGTTGACAACAGAGGAGAAATAAACAAGTGTATGATGATTATTCTTGTAAATTTTCCTGAGGTATTCAATTCATGTATGTAGAAATATCTATGAATATGAATATATATGTATATATACATGACATGCATAAGACATTTGTCAATGAGAAAAAATGGAGTTTCTTTTGCTGGTAGGCTGCGGAAAATCATTAATTGGTTTTAATACTTCTTACCCCTCCCTCTATCTAGGATTGCAAACCTCTACTTCTTGACAATATAAACTTTATTGGAGTGACAGATAGACTCATCATAGCAAATGTGACTGCAGCACATAATGGGAAATATACTTGTGGAACATTCTACACGTACTTGGGAAAGCAATACCGTATTACCCGGGTTATAGAACTGATGACTATAGGTGAGTCACAGCTCCAATCTTAGGAGTTTGAATCTGGGAAGGCCCAGAAACCATGATTCTAATACTACCTTCATTGTTCAGGGAGGAACTAAACCCAAGAGAAGCTTGATGACTTGCCAAAGGTCTCATGGCTTTAGCTTTTTTGTTGCCAATACTATATACATGTTTTGCATTCCTGCTTCAGATGCAGTGCTAATTAGACGGTAAGAGATGTTTTCCAACTGAAGTAAGAGGCTTGTTCTTTGCATGACTAAAGATGGTTCTTCCAGAGAGCTCTTGGGTTCCCTGTGACTGGTGTACGAGGAAGGACAGTTCTGAGCACTTTCGCTTGGGGAGTCTGAGTGTCTAGCAGTAAGGAACATTGACTTGATCTTTTTTGTTTTTTTAATTATTTATTGTTACGTTAATCACCATACATTACATCATTAGTTTTTGATGTAGTGTTCCATGATTCATTGTTTGTGCACAACACCCAGTGCTCCATGCAGAACGTGCTCTCTTTAATACCCATCACCAGGCTAACCCATCCTCCCACCCCCCTCCCCTCTAGAACCCTCAGTTTGTTTTTCAGAGTCCATCGTCTCTCATGGTTCGTGTCCCCCTCCGATTTCCCCCCCTTCATTCTTCCCCTCCTGCTATCTTCTTCTTCTTTTTTTTTTCTTAACATATATTGCATTATTTGTTTCAGAGGTACAGATCTGTGATTCAACAGTCTTGCACAATTCACAGCACTCACCATAGCACATACCTCCCCAATGTCTATCACCCAGCCACCCCATCGCTCCCACCCCACCCCCCACTCCAGCAACCCTCAGTTTGTTTCCTGTGATTAAGAATTCCTCATATCAGTGAGGTCATATGATACATGTCTTTCTCTGATTGACTTATTTCGCTCAGCGTAACACTCTCCAGTTCCATCCACGAACATTGACTTGATCTTGATGGGGTGGATGCTAATGGGCTTTGGAATATGTTGCATTCCCAGAGTGCACTGTACCTCTTGTTAGTTTCTTGTTAGCTCAGTTACTTTCCCTCTCTAAGCCTGCTTCCTCCTCTGTAAGATGATACAACTTTCCAAGGTTGTTGGGGAGATTAGAGATCAAGTATGCTCAGCTTGTGACCATGTGCCTGGTGCAAAACAGAGGAGAAATAAATAGGCATAGATAATTATTCTTGTAAATCTTCCCGAGGCTTTCAGTTCTTTATTAATTATGTTTCACCTTAAAAGCTATTTTACAAGAAAATGCACTCCTACAAATTACCTGGGGATGGGCAGAATGCTCAGCCTTTCTGTAAATAGTAGATTTTGTAAGCTTTCAGTAATAAAAGAACAGTTCCTTTAACCAGGACTTTAAAAGTTAAAGGGGCCTTATTAGTAATTATGCTGGGACAACCAGCATAAATGGGGACTGTCTCAGATAAATCCTAAATATGATCACTGTACATATAGCTAGGTTTTCTCAATTCTCTAATAATTTATATTTTTCAAATGTTAATTTTATTTATTTATTTTTTAAACATTTTTTAAAGATTTTATTTATTTTTTGGGCGCCTGGGTGGCTCAGTTGGTTGAGCGACTGCCTTCGGCTCAGGTCATGATCCTGGAGTCCCTGGATGGAGTCCCGCATTGGGCTCCCTGCTCGTCAGGGAGTCTGCTTCTCCCTCTGACCCTCCCCCCTCTCATGTGCTCTCTCTCATTCTCTCTCTCTCAAATAAATAAATAAAATCTTAAAAAAAAAGATTTTATTTATTTTTTGACAGAGAGAGAGAGACAGAGAGAGACAGTGAGAGAGAGAACACAAGCAGGGGCAGTGGGAGAGGGAGAGGGAGAGGGAGAAGCAGGCTTCCTGTGGAGCAGGGAGCCAGGAGCAGGGAGCCTGATGCGGGGCTGGATCCCAGGACCCTGGGATCATGACCTGAGCCGAAGGCAGACGTTTAACGACTGAGCCACCCAGGCGCCCTTTCAAATGTTAATTTTATTGAATCAAAATGAATTCCTTGCCCAAGTCCTACAAGCATCAGCGAATTATAATTTTCAACAGTCCTTATATCACACCCATCCTGGGTTTTTAGCAGCCTATCTCTGGCCATGGGGTAGTTCTGGTTTGTCTTTCTTTACATACAGCAACCAGACCAGCAGATAGAATTTTAGAGAGAACTAGGGAATTTTTTTTAATAGGTCAAATATGTTTTAAATACTCTGTCTTCTTTTCTGATACCCTTTATAGAAATAATACACTTCATCAGAGAAGGGGTCATATTTTGTTTTCGTAAAACAGATTCAAAAATATTAATTGAGCATCTACTATATGCCAGGCACTGTTCTAGGTGTACATTAGAGAACAAGAGAGACAAGATCCTGCCCTGATGGAGCCTACTTTTTTTTTTTTTGACTGTGGTGGAATATGGGCATTTCAATTCATAGTTTCTCAGGCTTGGCCACAGATGGACCTTTGAAGTCCATCTTCTTGTAAATAAAACTCAGATGAATTTCTGGAGCTCCTTAATACTCTTCTGCCCTTTTAAATAAATTCTGTCGAATCGCTTGGCATTCCACTCTTGGGTCATTACTACAATTACTAAAGACAAACAGGTCTAGCACTGGATGGTCTCTCCGGTTAATGCTTCCTCCACGGAAGTCCGTCCCCAGAGCTCCTTGTTGTTCCTGATTTGCTTCAAGAGAGGAACTTGTCTGGTGTCCTGGTGATGTGTGTGTTTGTAGCACCAAACTCGATGGGTGAGCAGGGCTCAGGCTTGGTAGCAGGTATTCGTGGTTTAGCTGTGACCTCCTCGTTGACCTCCTTCCTTCACCTCTTGCCTTCTGTCCCCTGCCGTATACGCTTTGGGCACTCAGGGGAATATCTGGCCAGCTGCCACGTGGTATTTTTAGTACATTTTGCTAACTGTTGTCATCAGTTGAGATTCTGATCTGTAAGAGACTAAGAAGCCCTGCGGATGTTTGTCTTTCAGAAGAATACAAGCCCGTGAGGCCTGTAATTGTGAGTCCAGCTAATGAGACAGTGGAAGCAGGTCTGGGTAAGTGGGTTCCAATCACGCTATGCTGAAATCTTTATTCTGAACTCAAGATTAAGATAAACTGTACCTTTACTACACTTAACCGAAACCATTTACTGAAAAGATCTATAATTAGTGGGAAAATAGCACAAATTATGTCTTTAAATGTTTCTTTGGATTCCCTGCCTTTCATAGCAGAAATCTAGCCATGTCTGATTTGTCCACCCTCACTTTCCTGTGGATGCTTATTACCCATGAAAACATCAGCCAAAGGCTAAGTTCAACAGGACTAGAAATGAGAAATGTAATTTATCTGACTGGCCCAGGATGGAATTCTTAAGACCAGAGCTAAGCTTTTAGACTGAAGGGTAAGATAATAGACCAAAAAGGAAAAGTATTTTTCTAGAATGACCATCAAGTCAGTGAAAATTTTTTATTTCGAGAACAAAGACATAATCCTATAAGCATCCAGACCTATACAATACACTCCAATAGCCACTAGCCATATGTAGCTATGAATATGTAAATTTAAATTAAGTAAATTAATTAATTTAGTTCAATTAAAAATTAGTTCTTCAGTCACATTAGCCATATTTCAAGGGCTTAATAGCCAGATGTGACCAGGGATTACCATGTTAGCACAAATATAGAACATTTCTGCCGTCACTGAAAATTCTCTTGAAAACCACTGGTCCAAACATAAAATCAGATTTTCGTATCAGAGGATCAAAAACCAGGCTGGCATGCAAAGTTCTCTTCTGTAAAAGTCACTGCATGAAGACAGTGAATAGTTGTACGGAGATTAGAAGGTAAAAGTTTGTGACCAATGCGTTCTGTACTTGGCCAAGTTGTTATTCATGGTGGAAGGTAATATAAAGACATTCATAGATATAAACAAGCAGAGATGTGAAAACTCAAATTAAATATAGGCCGATAGAATCTACAGCAGTTTTCCTCAACCCTTTTTTTTTCCTCATTAATGCTCCCCTGTAGAGTCTAAAAAGGCATTTCTCTTCCCCAATCCTCTTCCCTTCCTTAGTTTTAATGCCACATATCTATTATATATCTGTTGATGTACCATGGCACTTGTCAGGGCCACAGACCATTGCAATATCTAAGATTTTCTTGCCCTCTCCCCAAGAACCACTTTTTGCCCTGTTGGCCCTAGCTTCTGTTAAGAATTCATATTCTAGTGGTATACATTTTAGAGTTCTGAAGTTCAGGTGGCATTGATCTCCAAATCTAAAAAATAGCTTCATATTAGGAAATAGTTATTTTAATATATCCCGTCGACCAGATGCACACATCACCCTGTCATATGATTATCCTGAAGGGTGTCAAACAGGCATCTGCTAAGATTCAATACCAATTACCAATAAAGTGACTTCAATACCAATTACCAATAAAGTGACTTAGAAAAATAGATACTTCCTTAACTTAATAAATAACATTGATTCAAACCAATAGTCACTAACATTCTTAATGGTGAACCACTGTAGTGTTAGATGTTCTACACGCATAGATGCCCAAATAAGGCAGCATTACTTAACATATTCGAGAATTGCCCACTTGAGGCAATCATACATAAAAGAACCAAGGCATGTTTACTGTAAGGGAGAAAAGGACTTTATTATTATTTTCAGATCATATAATGTATATATAACTCTCAAGAGAATTACCAGGGAGAAGTTAGAATTAATATATTATTATATAAAATTAATATTCTAGGTGTAGTGGAAGTCCCCTCTGCTGTGGTGGTGTGCTGTGGGGAAGAGATGGATTTGTAAGTCCCCGGGCGAGGTCCTGCCTCCCCAAGGCCACTACTTTGCGGAGGAGACTCTGGGTGAAGCTATCATCATTACGTTTGACCAGGAGGCAAAACCTTCTACTGGGGACTTGAGGGATAAGGAAAGAGCATACATTAAACTCAGAGTCACTGGACATGGTGCAGTGAGATTCACTTTGAAGTGAGGATGGTGGACGACACATCTCCGGCAACTCAGAGAATCATATTGTCAAAGACTGGATGTTCCAGTGAATTCACTCAGGTTTCTCTTCGAAGGTCAGAGGATTGCTGATAATCACAGTCCTAGGGAGCTGGGAATGGAGGAAGATGTGATTGAAGTTTATCAGGAACAAACAGAGGGTCATTCAACAGTTTAGATATTATTTTTATCTTTTCTTCTTTCCCCCTTAATCCTCTTTTAGTTTTAAAAATAGTTCTTTTGTCATGTGGCGTTCAGGATGGAATTGAAGACTGGCACCTCACCTCCTTAAGACATCTGGTGATGTGAATTCTGGTGTCCATTAGTCATTATCATTTGTTTCCCTGGTGCTGAGTTTTGGTGATGAAACCTCAGTGCCCTTCCTGTTGCCCTCTCCTTTTTATGAATTACGCGGGTACACTGAGGGGCCACCTTTTCCAGGACTGTGGGTCTTCAGGCTTATGGTAAATAAGACTCACCAATGCAGTGTTCATAATGGCTTTCCGATTGGCCCTGAAGTTCTGGCAACTTCAGGAAGTTACTTCCTTCCTGGACTTGTGGCTTTCGGTGGGAAATGGAAGTTTCTCAGAGAACCGAGCTGTGGAAAAATGGCCTTTCCTTCACTTAAAGCTGCTTTGAAAATCTGAGGGTTTGGCCCCAAAGAAGAGGAATATCGGGCTGGAGTCAAGGTGGCATAGAGACAGTGAGAATAGGGACTAACTCCAAAGATGGCTTCACTGAAGATAAATCATTTTAAGATTAAAGAAAAATCTTGTCAGAAGATCCCCAAAACTTGTGATTTTCCTAGGTAGTTAATAAAGTTATTCATGCAGAAGTGTCTATAACAGAGCACTGCTCTTTTTTATTTTATTTGTACTTTTTGGCCTAGGCATCTGGGTTTTAAATGGACATTGTCTATACCAACTTCATTAAAATAAACAAAATATTCGTAAAAGCAAGCGAATGAATAAAATTGATATTCCAAAATGGTAAACTTGTTTGGCAATAACCAACTAGAAAACATAATGGGGAAAGAGATCCCATTTGCAACATGTCATAGAGATGTCTATAAAATTTCTTAGCAAAATCTTTTCAAAAATATATAGGATTTATAGGGGAGAAAAAATGCAAATTCTGACCTATATCTCAGGAAAATTGAGATTTAAAGCTTACATATCGACAAAGAGTGGGAGTGATGTTGTTTCCAATGGGGAGAAAATTGGTTCTTATTGGAAAAAAAAATCTAAAGCAATATCCTGTATGTGGTATTAAAAATTCACTGGGAAGGAGGCAATTAGGATAAAAATGTCTTAAAAGGCTCCAAGGGGAACAATAATGAAAGAAATCTTGAGAAACACCGATATAAGGAAAACTGTAATAGAAATGTATGTTTTTTCTTATATGGAAAACTGGAAATTGTAAAAATAGCGACTCTTAAAATTATAGTTTTAATGGAATTCCAATAAAAATATGAATGGGCTCGGGCACCTGGGTGGCTCAGTTGGTTAAGCCACTGCCTTCGGCTCAGGTCATGATCCTGGAGTCCCTGGATTGAGTCCCGCATCGGGCTCCCTGCTCGGCAGGGAGTCTGCTTCTCCCTCTGACCCTCCCCCTTCTCATGTGCTCTCTCTCTCTCATTCTCTCTCTCTCAAATAAATAAAATCTTTAAAAAAATATATGAATGGGCTCAAAAGTTGGCAGGTGGTTCTTAAAATTCACCCAGAAGATTAAAATGATGAGATTATTAAAATAACATTGGGAAGAAGAGCTCTAAATGATACTAACATTTACCCTAAAACTGTTAGGTACTGTTGGCATCAGTATACACATTCAGATCAACCAAGAAAGTCCCAAATAAATAATTTATTTTCTAATAAAAGTGGAATTATTATTCAATAAGCAGTTCTGAAATGATCCATCAGCTATTTAGATAAAAGCCTTAGGTTCAATCTCTCCCTCCTACCATACTCAATTATATTCTAGACAGAGTAAAGAACTCAAACAGTCAAAACAACAAAACAATGAAAACATTTTATATATCTCAAGGAAAATGTATATAGATATTTTCCTGATTTGGTGGTAGAGCTTTTAGAAAAAAATTGTGAGAACAGAGAAAACAGAAATTTGACCAAGTAAAAAATAAAAACATCTACACCAAAGAATTTCCATAAACAAAAATAGAAGGAAAGTAGTGAACTCTGAACAGTATTTGGAATATCATACGTGGAAACTTCCACATATGATAAAGAGTTAATATCATGGATGAATAAAGAGCTCCTACGCAGCAGTGAGATTTATATGAGAATCAATTAAGTAATAGACAGTAAACATAACAACAAGTTCTTAAAGGCAAATTAATACTAAACTTATAAAAGACACGTTCATTCATCATGATTTCAAGAAATGCAGATGAATAGGGGCGCCTGGGTGGCTCAGTCCTTAAGCGTCTGCCTTCGGCTCAGGTCATGATCCGAGGGTCCTGGGATCGAGCCCCGCATCGGGCTCCCTGCTCCACAGGAAGCCTGCTTCTCCCTCTCCCACTCCCCCTCTTTGTGTTCCCTCTCTCGCTGTGTCTCTCTCTGTCAAATAAATAAATAAAATCTTAAAAAAAAAAAAAAGAAATGCAGATGAATATTTAAATGGAATTTTTTCTTCTCTTATTGGGCAATGACCAAAAATATTTGAAATCTGGGGGTTTGGGAGGTAAAAGTCACTCATCTACACTGCTGGACAAAGTGTAGATACGTACAGTCTCACTTGGGGGAGGGGGTCTGGCTTTTTAAATCCGTACTTCCAGATTCAAAGAAGTGCTTCAGGATATATACGATATTAATGTACAAGAATGGTCGTTAGAATATTAATCCTAATCGTGAAAAAATTAGAAACCAATTGTGTTTAGCAATTGGAAAAGCATCAGTCATAGTGTGTTATGGAATACTAAACAGCCATGAAACAGACTATTTTGGAAGGCTGATCACGTGAGCTGGAATTCCCAGTATACAATATTTACAAATAATAGACAATAACACTCCATTTTTAAAATTGCATGTGAAAAAAATTGCATGTGTACACAGAGAAGATGAGGAATAAGATGCACGAAGTTACTAATCATGGTTATCTCCAAGTAGGGGGCTTAAGGGCAACTTTTCTTTTTCTTTGTACTTTTCTATAATTTAAAATTTTTATTCAATGGCCATTTATTAATCTAGATAAATCAGATAAAAGTCGATTGCTATGATTAAAACTACATTGCTTTGCAGGATCCAAGCTACAACTGATCTGCAATGTCAGTGGCCACATTAGTGACTATGTCTACTGGAAGTGGAACGGGTCATCAATTCAGGATGAGGACTCCGTGCTGGCAGAGGAATATGTACCGTAAGTATGCTAAAAGCCACTCATGCAATGGAGAAGTTTGGTATTAAATTTCACGTCATGAAATTTATACAACCTTGATGGTTTAATTGGATAGCAAAAGTTAGTTGATTGGCCCTTGACCCTTTGCTGCCCATATTGAGTTTTGCTGAGCTAAACAGGATTTATAAGATCTTACACACTTCAGGTAAAAATACGTGTCATTGTGGTGCAAATTCTGGACCACTTGGAAGGCTTTCTCTTGAATTTGGATAAACATGTTACAACATTCCAATGAAGCAACTTTCCTGAATTACCTGTCATGTTATTCCGTTTTTTAAACAGTTTAGGAAAGACTCATTAAGTGGGACTGAGAATCGGGCACTCCACCTCTCAAGTCTCTAGTGGTTTTCTGTTTCCTCTCTAGGGATCAACTCCTGACTCCTTAGCATTCTCCTTGGTCATCTGCTCCAGTCTCCTCTTGTTTCATGTATTCTTCTCTCTGCCCCCATGGCGACTAGAATGCACATCCATCTTTTTCTTCTCGGAAGCTGGTAATTTTACTTTGATCTCAACTACTGAGTCTTTGACGCACAGTGGTCTTTGGGCTATAAAATCTCAGATTAGTGTTGCTAAAAGCCTGATTATTATCCCTGTGCATAGGGCTGGTGATAATTTCTGCTGCAATTCATGTAGCGAAAAAAGAGATGAACCATGTATATGTGTCTCAGTTATAGTTTTACTTAAACAACTTCATTTATTCTCTCTCTTTTGAACAGAGTGGAAAATCCTTCAAATAGAAGAAGGAATACAATCATCACCATTCTTAATATTTCAGAAGTGGAAAGTAGATTTTATCTATATCCATTTACCTGTGTAGCCAAGAATACAGACGGTATAAATTCAGCATATATCCAATTAATACATCCAGGTAAACAACAGAATATTTGAAATGCAGTTTTGGTTTACTGTCTCAAGAGTCTATGACCTTGAGGTTTACAATGCTGTTTCCCTCTGACTGGAACGCTCTTGGATTCCTCTTAACCTGGCAAACTTCTTTTTTTTCACTTGTCAGATGAACTATTTCTTCTAGGAAGCTTTCTGTTCTCTTGCCTGCCCTTAACCAGCTCTCTGACCAAACAGACAATGCCTCTGTTATATACTTTCAGAAAACCCTATGTCCCTGTCACAATATCTGTCATACTTAGTTTTCTTTGTTGACTTAAATTCTGTGACAGTGCTGACCACTTATCTTGCCAATCATTCTATTTCTAGAGCTAGTAGTGACTTAAATCTGGCATATCATAGGTATATAATGAATATTTTTAGGTAAATGACAGCATAGGACAGCCTAAATATCCACTTTTCAGAGAGGATGTCAGAAGTTACTGGGTTTTTTTTCAATTATATAATCAAACAATATTAAAAATATTTGTGAAATATTTTGATTATTTGTAGTTGAATTAAATATAGGGTATTTATGAATGTGTACATGGAAGAAGATTTAAAAACCTATAGACAAACTGTTAGAATTAATAAATGAATTTAGCAAGATCACTAGTCTCTCTCTACATGTAAACACATATATATGTACATATAGTATTTCTATGTACGTCAATAAATACCAACAACAAATAGAAATTAAATTTAAAATATTACATTTACAATAGTATCAAAAATTATCAAATACTTAGAAATAAATCTGGCAAAGGTTGTTTAAGACTTCTGTGATACAAACTAAAAGAATGTCATTGAGATAAATTAGAGAAGACCTAAATAGGTAGAAGGATATACAATGTTCATAGATTGAAAGACTCCGTGTTATAAAGATATCAGTTCTCCTCAAATGAATCTATAGATTCAAAAAAGTTCCAATCAAAATTTCAACAGTATTTGTGCAAGTGTGGGTATATATTTGTGTGGGTATGTTGTGGGTAGATTTATTCTAAAAGTCATATGGAAATGTTAAGGGGCAAGAATAATCAAGGTGGTCTTGAATAAAAACAGCAAATCTAGAAGATTTACACTACAGGTACCATGATCTTGTGTGAAGCTACCATAATTAAGACTATCAATGTGAACTATCCATTGGGCCAATTGGATATTGGTCTGGAAAATGGTATATCTCTTGATTCCTATTTCATACTCAAATCAGCTGTAGATGGATCAAAGACCCAAACTGGGAAATTATTTTTATTTTTATTTTTTTTATTCTTATGTTAATCCCCATACATTACATCATTAGTTTTAGATGAAGTGTTCCATGATTCATTGTTTGTGCACAACATCCAGTGCTCCATGCAGAATGTGCCCTCCTCAATACCCACCACCAGGCTAACCCATCCTCCCACCCCCCTCCCCTCTAGAACCCTCAGTTTGTTTTTCAGAGTCTATCGTCTCTCATGGTTCGTCTACCCCTCCGATTTCCCCCGCTTCATTCTTCCCCTCCCGCTACCTTCTTCTTCTTCTTTTTTTTTTTTCTTAACATATATTGCATTATTTGTTTCAGAGGTACAGATCTGAGATTCAACAGTCTTGCACAATTCACAGCGCTTACCAGAGCACATACCCTCCCCAGTGTCTATCACCCAGTCACCCCATCTCTCCCACCCCACCCCCCACTCCAACAACACTCAGCCAAACTGGGAAATTAAATATAATAGAGCTTTTAGATTCTCTTTTCTGGATGCCTACATGACTCCTGACATTTAGAAGGCACTTTTTTCTTCTTTCTTCTCTACACCGCACCCCCTTACTTCTCCTTCACCTTGCTTCTCTGCCCTTCTGTAATCATTGGATGAATAATTAGGGAGTGAAGCTAGGAAAATGTGGAAGAGTGACACATTCTGTATGGCATCCCTATGCCCCTTTTTTCCTTTCCCCCAAACTTCAGCTTTCCTCACCTGACTCTTCTACACTCCAGAAACTTCTGTAGGCTTTTGAGTGACTTTGACTTGTTTTACTCTGAAGTGCTCTATCCTATGGGCTTTGGCATCTTTTCTGTGTTATTGTATATAATGGACCCTTAAACAAAATGGGAATTAGTAGCAGCAACACTCCCATTCCCAGTCAAAAACTCGAGTATAACTTTGAGTCCCCGCCGAACTTTACTACTGATAGCCTGCTGTTGACCAGAAGCATTACTGATGACATGAACAGTTAACACATATTTTGTATGTTATGTGTATTACGTATGTGTTCTTACAATAAAGTAAGCTAGAAAAAAGAAAATGTTATTAAAAAATCATAAGGAAGAGAAAATACATTTACAGTAATTGTATTGTAAAAAAAACTGCATATAAATGGACCCACACAGTTCAAACCTGTAGTGTTCAAGGGTCAACTGTATTATAATATTTAGGTGGAAATTTAATACAGTGCACCTCAGTTTTATAAAGTATCAATTCTAGATGGCTTTGTATGTTAGTTTGTTTTATTAAGTGATGATAATGAACTGGTTAATATTATCTGGGATTTAGGATTGCAGAGCCGTCCCAAAAATGTTTCTCTGGGATGATAATATTTAATTTGGTATGCCCAAGTTTTTAATTCTTTTGTTTCTAACATATTTTTTTCCTCTTCTCCACAATAGTGCCTGATTTCAAGAAGCACACAATTGGTGTATTTGTCATGCTAACAGTAATAATTACATGCTCTGTTTTCATCTACAAAATCTTCAAGGTTGACATTGTGCTTTGGTACAGGGATTCTTGCTATGATTTTCTCCCCAGAAAAGGTACGATTTTGTATTCTATGCAATATTTCCTTGTTGGAGAAAGGGGATAGTTAAGAGATGTAGAAGATAACTGAGAGGGTTTTTACTTAAATTTTAAAATGAAAAGTGGCATATACAAGCATAGTAGTTATTCTTATACATAATTATAGTTTGGGGACTGAACAGACTGAATAGCATTGTTTTCCAAGTTACTGCTTTAGTGTTCATAATGGTGGGATAAACAGGCATTTAGAGCATTTGTTTGCAAATCCAGTTTGTATTGCTCAGTGCTGGTTAGGACATAGATGACCCCATGATCTGCCTTCAGAGGAAAGAAATGGCGATTTTCATGCATCAGGGAAGCTCTCACTTTCTCTTTTGTTTAAACCTTGCAAAAAATTTTAACACTACAATAATACATAAAAGGAAGAATGGATAGAATTCAGGGCTGAGACACCAGGGAAGAAGATAAGACCAGGGAGCTAAGGATAGTTCCCAGACCAAGAGGTAAAGAATCTCTGCACTTGAGGTGGCCATTGAGTAATAAAAGAATGCCTTCATAGTAAAACACAATAAATAGAAACTTGTAGGAGAGAACCACTTTAAAAAGTTATTGTATTTTTGGTATTGCTGCTTCATTCATACCCTCACACACAAAAATTAATTTATTCTGAAATGCATGTTTGGGATACTGACTTTACCAAATCTCTTGGGTTTTTTTTGTTTTTGTTTTTTGGATCTAAATATTTTGCATTTCCCCCTCTAGATTCAGATGGAAAGACCTATGATGCATACATACTATATCCAAAGACCCTTGGGGAAGGGTCCACCTCTAACTCAGATATTTTTGTGTTTAAAGTCTTGCCTGAGGTCTTGGAAGAACGGTGTGGATATAAACTGTTCATTTATGGAAGGGATGCCTATGTTGGGGAAGGTAAGTGTGTCGTGGAAAAAAGTAAAAGTCTTTGTTGTAAAAATAATTGCTAAAGTTATGTTTCATCTTTCTAGAAGAACTGTGGCAAAGGTATACAGATTTGGCAGTTTTAAGAACCTCCTCGGTGGTGTGTGATGATGATTTTCACATCTATTAAATGCAAAGTACTTATTTTTCTCATATTTTGCTGGCACAAGAATTAACTAAGTTTTATTTAGTTTTGAAAAACTTCACAACTAGTTAGATCCAAT